GGGGCTCTGCTGGCACAGTGGCTAAGCACTCAGCTGGGAGCCAAAAAGACTGGCAGTTCGAATCCGCCCAGTGGCTCCTCAGGAGAAAAGACCTCGAGAATAAAGATCCCAGCCAACGAAATCCTGGGGGACAGTTCTACTGTCAGAGAGGGGAGTATGAGGCTGCATCAATGGCATACTGGCACAACAACAAAAAACAGTACGAATAAAAGAGGGTTAAATTCCCATAAGTAATGTTTTTCTATTGGCGACATGTAAAGATGATGGCATTTGGGGGTAAATAAAATATATTATTAAAATTAATTTCACTTACTATCCTTTTTAAGTTTAAAAAATATGATAACTAGAAAATTTTAAATTGCTTATATGGCTCACCCTGTATTTCTATCGGCTGTGCTGTTTGGGAGCATCAGTTTCTATATTATCAATAACACATAAAGGCTATTTGAGCCAAGGGGGAAAACTAGAATGGTCTTCTTGGGCATAGTTGTTTCGGAAGCTTAAAGGGGGCTAGAGGGGATAAGTGTGCCCCTATGCACAGTCACTAAAGCGTAAGGCAGGCAACCTAACAGTGCTACTGATTCCACCTTCATTTACAGCAGGAATCCAACAACTTCTCTCCAGCCACCCGGGTCCAAGCCCCCATCAATCATCTTTCACCCGATTCCTGCAAGGCCCCTCTCTCTAGGTGATCTGTTTGCTTCCCTTATGGTCTATTTTAAACAGGGCAGCATGAGTGAACCTTTAAAATGTCAGTCAGATCATGCTCCTACCTTTTCCAAACCCTCTACTAGCAATCCTATCTCCCTTGGTCTAAAAGCCAAGTACTCACACAGGCCCACACACTCAGAAAACCTCACTGCCATCGAGTCAATTCCAACTCACAGCGACCCTATGGGACAGGATAGAGTGCCCTATGGGCTTCCGAGGTTGTAACTCTTGACTGACAGGAGTAGAGAGTTTCATCTTTCTCCCTCAGAGCTTCTGGTGATCTCAAACCGCTGACCATGCAGTTAGGAGTCCAAGGCATGACCCACTACACCACCAAGGTTCCAACCCCCACATAATCTGCCTCCTAACCCCTTATCTTTCTGACCTCGTCTCCTGACATCTCCCTTCAATCTCCCTGTGACAGCTACGCACGCATTCTGTTGCAAGCAACACACTCGGTTCTCTCCAGCTTTGGCATTTGCTGTTTCCTCTGACTAGAAATCTCTTCTTTCAGTTTTCACCCTCCCTCTCAGGACTTTGTTCCACGGGACCTTCTCAGTGACGACCTCCCTGACTGCAACCATTCTCCCACTCACTCTGGGGCTCCCTGCCCGCTTCCCTATTTGCTTCTCTTCATAGTACTTATGATCTCATGTTCTATAGGCTTTACTTAAGGGCTACTGTCCTGTTCCCCTGACTAGGACAGTTCCACAGAAGCAGAGATGCTGGCACCCGGCACACAACAGGTGTTCAAAAATGACTGACTGACTGAATGACCCCAACTTTACCGGAGAGAGAAGGACCTAAACTCTTTCCACGGAGGCAATTCACAGGTGTCACCTCAGGCCTTTCAGCTTGGGACGTGTTTAAAGTATCTCAAACCCTACTGAACTTAAAGTCGGTTATACTTACTGTGCATGAGCTAATCGCAGAATGGAGAATTAGAAACGCATCCCTGCCTTGCTATTTCTCAGATTCTTACATTTTATTGGCAATGCCAAATTTCTCACGGACAGTCTACTGTTCTGACCGGTTGTCTGAGTTACAAGCATATCTACCCCCATTGGCCTCACTAAAGCTAATGCCGACTTGAAGGGACAGAAGAGACAGGCATAGCAGTTGTACTTTTCCTGAAATGATACTGGCATCCAAAGAACGCTCTTGGCCCTGCATTAAACATGCTTTTCAAGGGCTGCTCTTTCTACTTCTCTGCATGTGAAAGGCCTGCTTTGGTCAGTGGCTGACCTTAGACTTCACTCTTCAGTGCCAGAGCACACTTTCTCCTGCCTTTCTTATGATCTCAGGAGAAATGCTGCCTTTGGTGATTTGGGTTCTAAGGAACTCTGATTTTGCTTCTAGTGGAAAAGAAGCAAACTTCCCTGTTCCTAGAGCATCCTTGGCTTCTGTATTCCCTGTGGTTTCAGCTGGAGGGTAGACTGGTCTTTGTACTTTTTCATCTGGCTCTTCGGTCTCTTCCTGTCTCCATTTTCTCCTGTCTTAAGAATCGGTCCATGTTTTCCACCCTTTCAAATCCATCAACGCAGATCATCCATTTTCATCCTCTCTTGGGTCCTCGTGTTTACTAAATGAGCATCTTTTAAGGAATTTTAACTCCACTGTTTGGCTTCACCAAACTGTAGCCAGCCCAGGGTCTCTTCTTTTGACAGTGACTTTTCATATGTCCACCCATTACTTGGCAAGCCCCCCCAGTGATGGACTGACGGGCAATGCATACTGGTCCTTTCAAGTTGTACAAATTTGTCTTAACCTTGAAATTACTTGCAAGAAATGAATCACCATAGTCACCTTCATTTGGTGCACATACAGCTTTTAAATTAACTTTTTGTTGCACTAAAGAAACATTAAGTAAGAATTGGATGGAACTGCTCCAACTTTCCCACAAATTTAACTTAAAGATACACTTAGGAACGGATGCTGTCCGTAACCCAGGGGCTGCCTGTACTCAGTTTGTAGGCAGAAAGCATTGGCTTCTCGGTGATACAACCCTCCCCAGGTTACCTTCACTTCTCTTTCCTCTGCTCTTGGAGCTCCCTCTTTCTATCTCTGTTACAAAATTCAGAGAGATTATCTATTTACCCCTTGCCTCTCTGTAAATTAGGCTTTATGTCAACTTGGCTGGGCCAGGATTCTCCCACAATATGAACAAACACAATATGATCAACTCCATGATGGACTCTTCTGTGGATTAGCCAAGCAGTTGTGGGGAAGATAGGGCAGAGTTCTACCTCGGTATCTGGCCATCCCCTTGATACCATTGAGGGACGTTTCATTTGGGGTGTGGCGCACACTTACTATAGACTAACAGTGTGTGGAAACTAACTCACTTCTCTTGCTGGATCTGGATCCGTGGTTTGTTGACCTCCTGCTGTATCTCCTGCCAATTCCAGGAGGCATCAGTGTACTGTCAACCTTGAATTTAATCAACTCTGTACACAGCAGCCTGCGCTCTTCCTGCTTCCTGTTCATCAGCCCCTGCAGCTACTCAGGAGAAGCCTCTACCTTCTCTACCTTATATCTGATTCCAGAACTTGAACTGGACTGGACCTACCCACTTCTTCAACAATATGAGCTATTTCTTGATATTTATCTCTTTCTACACACACACACACACACACACACACACACACACACACACACAAGCATCACTGGTTTTGCTTCTCTGGAAAGCCCAGCCTAATACACTCCCCTATCCGATAAAGAGGTTCTCCAGGGCAGGTATAGCTGCTATCAGTTCAACATCTCTAGGACATAGCACAGGACCCAGCATGTAGTTTATGTTTACTAAATAGTTTCTAAACAAACAAACATTTCACATACATAGGATCCCTGCCCACACATTATCTCTAACCCTCTGCACTCAAGAATGACATCTAAATTCCTTCCAAAGTTTGTGAGCACCTAGACGTGTCTTCCATGCTTGCATTACATGAGAATACAGTACCTGAGTATGAGCCATCAACTTCTATATTGGTGGGGTGTATGTACAGTGTCACACTTTGAAAGTGTCCAGATAGATGCCCTTACAAAGTCTCTCTTTGTCCTACTACATTGCTTACCCAGTTACCTGGAATTCTACCATCAGTTTTGATTCTTTTGTGTTCAAGGTATTATCTCAACACACACACACACACACACACACACACACACACACACACACACTCCTAGTAAGCTTACCACATCGAGCTCTATTAATCGTTAACAAGTCAGCTAGGGGTAAGAGTGTAATAGATCCTACCTCAATGAAAATGAGCTGGGAGGAGAATCTGATGGAGAGAGCAGGGACAGGAATGTGTGAAGTAGATCCAATGTGCTGGCATTGGCTAAAGAAACACAACGACTAGACAAGAGCGAAGGAACTGCAATTCCAAACCTTTTTCTTCTTTTCTGCCTTGTATAGGGTAGGCTTTTAAAACGTGGGGCTCACGTTCAACATGCTGGAACTCGTCTGTTTGTAAAGTGGAAGCCACAAGGAGTGGACTTCTAGGTTAGCAAGCTCCAACCAAGCCTGTGCTTCGTTCACCCACCCCAGTGTCCTGGAGCTCAATTCTGACTCAGAGCAACCCTACAGGACAGGGTAGCAAAGCCCTAGAGGGGTTCCTTCCAAGGCTGTACACTTTACTCTGTGCTGGAGTAGCTGGTGGTCTTGAACCACCGACCTTGGTTAGCAGTTAAATGCTTTTTACCACCATGCCGCCAAGGCTCCTGTGCTTCTCTAATCCTCTGCCTTTAACCAGATCATCAAAGTTTAGCCATTTTACAGCCCAAATGACCTCAGAGATCTTTCCACTCCCCAGCCCCATCATTTTACCACTGATGAAATTTAAGCTCAAAGGGTTTAAGAGTAATTTGCCCAGGGTCTCACAACAAGTCCAGACTAGATCCCAATTTCCTGTCCATCTTTCCAGGAAAAGTAAATACTTAAATTTATAATTACCCCATAGCCTCATCTAGAAAACTATCACTCACTAATGTTCACAAGTTGAAATAGCTTTCCATTCATGTAACCACAAACCAGATCTTAAATACCTGTTTGTCAAAGGAAACTCACAGAAATAAATTTGTATCAATCGTAGTTGAAAAAAGCAAAGCCACCACCATATAAAATAAAGCACAATCACTGATACATGATTAATCGTAGATTCATAAAAGGATATTTTAGTCTATATGATGGATGGGAACGTTCAAATACAACACTTTCCCGCTCGAGAGCTGCCATGTGCAGATATTACATCCAGAATGTCTTTCTTCTAAACGGATGCCAGGCTTACCTTTTTCTGTCGCATGCCTGGAATCCTTTGGACTTCTTATGCAATGAGGAAACGCGAAGTTAACTACGGGCAGGTGGCTGAGTAGAACCAGAAGTTTAAACATAGTCTGGCAACTGTCAAGCAAACTACAACAAAACAAAACACAAAACGTCAGAGACCCTGGGCTCAGCACTGGGAGTTTCCGTGGGAATTGAGTCACCAACGTGTAGTGCTCAAAGCCACCACGCGACTGCGCCCCGCGCCAAGTTTCGGCCGTCTGGGCTCTACCCAGGCTCCAAAAAGCCAGCCCCCCCGCCCAAGAACGCCGGGGGACAAATGCCCCCCCGAGGGGCCCCTGCCCGCGCCGGGACCGCACCTGCAGGCTCGAACTCATGTCCCAGAGCCCCCCGGCAGGTGCCTGGTTGTTGGGTGGCCCTCGGAACCGCCAGGCCCTCTGCCTCGGATGCCCCCCAAGTCTCCGCGACGCGCTCG